CGCAAAGTGCTGTTTATAGCGTATGACATTTCCATTAAGCACGGTCCGCATCCGTTTCTAGCAATGGCATCATAGCAATCGATTCCAAGACACCAAAAGTAACCAATGATGGCGAAGAGACAACACCTTTTTAATAGCAAGTCTCTTACGAAGAAAGGCCCTCCAAATATGTTAAGATATGCGCAAATGAGAGTTAAATCGTATAACTTTCAATAGTCAAATCCGGTCATACATATTAAAATTAGATCGAGCCAGCCATTGGATGATCTGATATTGCAAAGACCACCAGCACAATAGTAATGCAATTCAGAGTGAAATAGCTAGTAAGTACAATCAAAGCACGTCTAGAAGTACGTTTCATGAGTAAAATAAGCAATATTTGCCACTTTCGAACAAAATGACGCCGACATGATCTCGAGCGTGAGGTCATATACTTTGAAACAGCAAGGTCACAAACTCCAAATTTGCACAGCGTGCGCAAAATTGATGCACCCTTAACGAAACAGATAACCAGAGATAACTACTCCTAATTTCAGCACCGCGCTTAAAACCATTCGGAAGATATTCCGAAAAAGCCCTTGGGGGAACTCTAAGGCCTAAGGCAACATAGGATGGGGTTCAACAATGCTATCGAAAAATACATTTGACTGTGCATAAAACACCTAACACCTACTCATTACGCACCTTCCCTCCGTCCGCCCCCCCCCCCCCCCTCCCCCGCCCTCCATTTGAATAAAAAAGCACAGTGCACCCGAACACTTGGGTAGGTACGACGCATAAGTCGCTGCTAAGAAGGTAATCACGTCATCGTGGTCGGGGGGAGCAAGCCAAGTGTAGCGCCTGATCGACCCCGATAACCCAGCCAATGAGCGTCTTCTTGAAAGACGAAGTGGCGTGTCTTCTGGCTACAGCTGGGCAGTGGAGTGCCCCATCCATTTGCATTCGCCACTTATTTTACTAACTGGTGGCTAGTAACCGTGCACTGACCGGACAAGCAGCTGGAGTGGATCGGTTGTTCACTGTTGTTGATAGTTACATTGTTGGGGCTGTGCCTGCCACAATATGTGAAGGTTGCCAGAATACCGTGCCGGAAACGGAAGGCAAGAGGTTTGGCGGAATGGTGTCACAACGTTGTGTGTGTGTGTTGACAAGCAAACAACCGAGGCAAAACGTTCTTTAGAAATATTGGCGCTTGGATCAAAAATGTCACAAATGGCAATGCTGTAAATAAACAACATACGAACCGAGACCACCAGTACGAAATTGCCAAAACTTGAGAAATTCGTTGTCGCGCTCTACCTGATCTGTCATCTGTCATCGGTCCGCTAGAGGCGTGGTCTGTTACAGCAGTACCAAGTGGAGTAAATTCGTGACTAGCCGGAACAATAGACTTTTTGGTAACTCTGGCCATGAGCCCACTCCCACCTCTTGAACATTTACCCCTCTCTTTTTGTGAGATCAGTATTAATGAAGCTGTTAATCATTATAATACCAGTAAATCAAATTGATTAGACGTAAAGAACAGATCATAAGGCGCAAAGATAGAACGGATTAAGCGTATAGTATTATCGACGTGTTACATGGATCGCGGCGCCGTTTGCGCCATTCGCCAGCACCGCCCACGTGATTGGCCGCATTTTCTCTTGCTTTAGACTGGTTGAGATGTTTCCGGTCTTGAATGCATAGTTGAAGGGATGTTAAACACTTGAATAGATTGAGGCAAGCATGAGGCATGACGAAATAAGCTCACTTGAACCTACTGAATTGCTTTGGAGTGTTAAAGACTGTTCTAGGCAACGAAATCTTATCATTCAAGAATGCGTTGATCAATGCGTTATCGTTTGATTACGTCACATAATGTCTTTATGACGTCATGTCGCCGCCAGACTGGCCGTTTGTCCAGGGCAGGATGTATGCGCCAGCCACGAGTGTGCCGAGAGGCCCTCCGGAGGGGGACCCCGACCGGGCACCCAGCGCGCACCCCGCGGAGGGTCCCTGAGTGGGCTAGGATCGGTGGTTGCCCCCCCCCCCCCCCCCCAGGCGCATGCAGTCCTGCTCCACCGTTCTCCAGTCTCCTTCATCACATAGCCATGAAATGGTCCATACTGGTCAAAAGGGCCCCAATCCAAATAACCAATAACCAAATCATGTTCGAACATCCGCCCCTTTAGTCCTCTTCTTCGCTTCGTCCTGCATCCTCGCGGCATCCCATTTGTCCGTTGCAGGCTGCATGCAGCACGCACGAGTGAGCCGAAAGGCAACTGGTGGAATGCCCCAGTTCGGACGTCAGGCACAAAACCCGCAGAGGGATCCCCCTGCGGGCCCAGTCTCAGAGCCCAAAGTGAGCCGAAAGGCCCCTGGTGGAATGCCCCAGTTCGGACGTCGGGCACAAAACCCGCAGAGATCTCTCTCTGCGGGCCCAGTCTCAGAGCTGCGCCCCCGGCGGATTTAGTCCTGTCCCACTAGTATTCCATCTCCTGCATGACACATCCTTTGATTGAGATTGAGATTGCGCCCCCCGGTGGGTTTAGTCCTGTCCCACTATTATCCCATCTGCATGACACATCCTTTCATTAAGATTGAGGTTGCGCCCCCCCCCCCCCCCCCCACCCCGGTGGATTTAGTCCTGTCCCACTATTATCCCATCTCCTGCATGACGCATCCTTGAAATGGTCTTCATATTACTAACCGAATTATCTTCAAAACGGCTATCTCAGTTCAAATCCAATGCGAATGTGGAGCACTCCCTTCAAAGTGCCTCGCCATGAACTAACCAAGCTGTTGCCAAATTCATCCCTTTAAGTTTAAACGAGTCCGTTGGGACCCAGCGATTTACCGTTATGCAAACCCTCTAAAGCGCATGCCATTCCTGTCGGAAGGCTTATCGTTCATTGCTTTTTTGTCGGCATTTGCGCTTTGATTTTTTTGTCGGCACCCGCGAACAAATGACTGACATCGCTCAGGGTTTAACGTCTCGCTAAAAAAGAAAACAGGAGAGCAAAAAGATCGCCGGAAATAAGGCTATCAGACACTTGCTCCGGCCATGTGAATAATTTTTTAGCTACTCCGAATTCAAATATAAGGAACAATCTGTTGGACCACTTGAGAAATATGGAAGGCCGTTAGTGGAGTACAGGATATTGTACATGCTCAGTAGCAGGCAGCTTTCTTCAGTTTTTACAAAGGAGTCCGTGTGAGATCTCCCTGACAATAGGCAAAGTCTGACAAGGCCGTCTTCCAGATTTGATGGTGGCCGAGGGCATGGTCAGGGAGAGCGTGAAGGAAATGAAGGTTAATCAGACGGCCAGACCTGACCAGATATATGGAAGAGTGTTGAATGAATGTGCCAGGGCTTTAGCATATCCTCTTATGCCAAAATTTAACAGGTCATCGAGTTTTCGGAAGTACCTGAGGATTAGCGCAATACAAATGTAATACCGATATTCAAGAAGGGGACCAAAAAGTGTCAGCAACTACAAGCCTGTCCACCTTGCCTCCCTAGTATGTAAGATTTTGGTTAGCATTCAGTTACACTAAGATAGACATCAGTCGATAAATAGTGACCACAGTGGTTTTCTGTCTGGTAGGTCCTGCTTTTAAAAAAAATCTTCTGGAGTTCATGGAGCACATTAAAGTCATGTAGATAAATGCAATAGTTCAGATGTTATCTAAATTTTAGGAAGCCACTTGATAACGTGCCACACCAGCTTCTTTTATATCAGTTAAAATCGCATGCCATTGAAAGAAACGTTCTTGGATGGGTAGAAACGTGGCTGCAAGATACAAAACAAGGACTAATGCTCAGTGGTACTAAATCTCAGTGGGAGCTAGTAGAAAGTTGAGTTCCACAGGGTTTCATGTTGAGTCCTTTGCTCTTTTTTAGTTTAACTTTTAACTACTTTAACTTTTTAATTACTTTAACTACTTTAACTTTCTATCCAACTTCAGGTTAGTCTAAGAGTAGTGAATCACTGGCATGGACTGCCAAACAACTGGTAGGAAGTCCCCCCCCCCCCCTAACTGGTAAGATTGGTTCAAGGATGGGTGAGAAGCCTTGCGAAGGCCAAGCTCGATCGACCTTTGCGGCTCTTTGTTGGCCTGATGTCTATGTGTGAATATGTCTATACGAAGAAAGCCAACGATGGCGCGATCACAGCCCTTTTCATTATCACCGTAAAATTGCAAACCCTGCGAAATGAAAAGTGAATAATGTCTGTGGTCATTTTAGCGAGTGGTGGAAACACACATCGAAATATTCCACAGAGCTGCTCATGTCACCCAAGTTTCCCACGGGCGACGCCGCCACGCCCAAGCAAGCGAATATGTCAACGATGGGTGAGAGGGGTAACCTGTCAACCTGGGGTAACGAAGCAAGCTATCAGCTCCTCATGTGAAAAAGGGAGTCAGACGCCCCACCAAAACGGCCTTGACAGAGATCCGAGGAAGAAGGTCAAGGAAGGTCTCGGGAGCTGCCAGAGCGCGCTGAGCAATCTGCCACCTGACGGTGACTACAGGAAACTCTGTGCTTTTTGCGGCTGGCGTTGACTTATACTCTTTTTAGATGCGTTGTGTACTAATTTTGATTATGTGCGCATGATGTTGACAATGTGCCAAATTTGTCTGATTTCGATGCGAAAGTCCATTTTCACAAATTTTCTCCATCTGCGCCATCCTTCTTTTCTTGGCTAAGGCATTTCTCAAGTTCCTTCCATTCCTCTCGAAACATGCTGCAGACTATCTCGTGACAATTCGTTCCGTGCTAGTCAACAAGATTCATGAAATCACACTAAACAGCAGCGATCAGGCAGCTCGAAAACACGAATGAAATCAGTGGAGGAAACTGGAGCGTTCGACCTTTTGAAACATACGTGCGAAATGCGCTTGTGAACAGATGTTACCTTCGCATGATTCAGTTGCCATGCAAATTGTGGTGGACCCCAAAGCAAATTCCCGCATGCATCTCTGCCAGAAAAAATCAACCCTTGCGGGCTGCAACTCACCAATGGTAGTCATCACAGTCAGTGAGTAGAGAAATCCGCCAGAGAAGGACCACTGCGTGGTCACCTCCGGCCTGCCGTCGTATCCATCGCCGACGGCGGCCACGATACTGTTCTGGAACTGCAGGATCTTCTCGTCCACGAGCTCGGTCCAGTTGCCCTCGAACATCACATTTAGCGCGCGGGTTATGTCCCACAGCTCCTGCACAGTAGCGTGGCGAAGCCCGATCACCCGGTTATTTGGTGTCAGTTTGTCCTCGCCCTCGATCTTTTGGAACACTATGGCGCCCACAATGGCGTATCCTAGAAACAGCGCGATGATGCCGACGTTGCTGAAGACGAAGGCGGTGACTGCGCGGCAACAGTCTTTCACTTGTTCGCTGGTGCTCTTGTCGCGACGCCGCGTCCGCCTGCGAGTCGCCATTCTCCCGCTAGCTCCCCATCGCCGCACATATTAGCAGCGGCAGCGGCTGCGGCGCCCGGCGCAGAGACCACAGAGAGCCGAACCGCGGCGGCAGGGGCGCGCCGACCACCGACCGCCGGCCGACATACGGACGGCCGACCACTTCCTGCAACACAGAGACGCCGTCACATGGGAGCCCGACATACGGACGGCCGACCACTTCCTGCAACACAGAGACGCCGTCACGTGGGAGCCCGACATACGGACGGCCGACCACTTCCTGCAACACAGAGACGCCGCCACATGGGACCCCGACGTACATGCGGCCGGCCACTTTCTGCAGCACAGAGACGCCGTCACACGAGACCACGATGTACGGACGGCCGACTGGTTCCTGCAACACAGGGACTCCTTCACACGTGACCCGACGGAATGGCAACCGGCTATTTCCTGCAGCACAGAGACTGGTGTTGATATACTTTGGAAAAGTCGCTTCCAGCCAGCTGAACGCGAATCTCCACAACAATGACATTCTCAGCCCTGCTCAGCAATGCCTATGGGCAGGGTAAGTGTACTGAGAACGCTCTGCTCGACGCTGCCTGAGATCTGGTGTGGAACATTGACAGCGGAGAGATATCTTCGCTTATAGCTGTCGACCTACCCAAGGCTTTCGACAGCGTTGATCATAGTTTGTACATAACAGAGCTTCATTGGTGCGGCGTTACCCTGATTGACTCAAAAATTATTTGAGGGTCAGAGGCGGAGGTGGGTGCGGGACTAACGATCTTAGCGGTAACGCGCAGAGTGCCCCAGGGGTCCATAGTCGGTCCGCTATTTTTCACTCTATTCACAAACGACTCGCCCAGTCATCTGTCATATGAACGCCTCATCTCATATGCAAATGACACTCAGCTCATGGACCAGGCTTCTTCTAGCAAGCAGTCTCAATGCACTAAAACGTCGTCTGGAAATATCAATTCGCGAACTTCAAGCTTTGTCAGCACAAGCTCGCTGAGAATGAAAAAGGGTAAAGCCGACATTGTTCTAATCAGTTCAAAGCTTAACATAAAGAAAATCTCTGATTTGCACTTTGCCATAGATGGAGACGCTATCCTACCTCTACGACGAAATAATTTTCTTCGGTTTGATCCTAGACTCTTCCTTGGAAAAGCATGTCGGCAAAGTAGTGCAAAATACAACGGAATTATTATCTTGCTGTACTGCCTAAGACAATATTGAACACTTGACATCCTGAAAACTATCATCGAAGGGTACGCTTGCCCACATATATCTTCCTGCCTATGCGCCTTGGGTGGCATGATCAAGTGCCAGGTGTACAAGATTTAAAAAGTTTACATTTTGCCGCAAGGAATGTCTGACATGAAACGCAGCCGGCATGTAACACCAACTCTGGAATCTCTAGGCTGGGTCCAGATTGATGACTTGGTGAAAGAGATGGACGTGCTGAAAGTATTCAAAGCCCCAAGACGCAAACAATTGTCCCCACTGTCCAATCTTTTATCAAGCCACGTCCCTCTTTTTCACCATGGAGGCGCGTTCCTCCATGTCGATGTTTTTCCACCTGCCCAGGTGCCAACTGGAACCTACCAGGTAACTCTGTCCTTATCGCGCCGCGGCAACTTGGAACTGCCTGCCTCCGACCATCACTACACCTTGATCTTTGATGGATCGAAAGCTCACATTTCAAAACGTAAATGTCTGCCCATGGGCCTTAGTTTCAAGCCCATGCTGATTACTTTTGATACGTACGTCGTATGCATGCATGTATGTGATTTTTGCAAGCCGATGTGGATCCCATCTACTTCCGATTAATTTTTATGTTTTGTATGTGTACTTCATTCGCCGTTGTAGGTGTACTCTAGGTTCGATATATTTTGTTGTCAATTACGAACATTTATTGGATCTATCGTTCGACTTGGCACGAATTTTATAGCATCGCATTTCATAGTAAAATCTCAATGCCACTGTATTTTACAGTATCACATTCTATAACATACTTTTTAATATCACATTTAGTTGTATGTTCCGTAGCATCGTCTTTTATATCATTTTTTTGTAATCTGCTGCAATGAGTAATTGAGTGCTATAACGAACCGAATCTAGTGAATGGAGTAACGATCCTAATACCTGAGAAGCCACCTCATGGATAGATTTCGAGCAACTAAATGTAAAAAGAGCGCATCACATGGAAACCGACGTACGGATGGCTGGCTTTTTTCCTGCAACACAGAGATCCCTTCACACGAGACGGAACAATACAACGGAACAAAAATAACGACGACCGGCAACACGCGGCAATAGTACAACACCGCAACTTCCTAAGTCGATTCTGATTCTGATTTCAGATGACCTTGACGTTTGTGTCAACTTCACTGCTGGCTAGCTTCCAAAAATAATTGAGGTCGACTTTGATTGTGTCTAAATGCATGACGCATGCTTTAAGAAGTTATCTTTTAATGGGCAGTAGACAGGCAGTCACGTGCTCCCTTGCAGCAGCCAATCATACATATCTGACAACGCATTCTATACTTTGCAGCAGCTGATGTGCGGCCACTGGGCAGTTACCATACTGCGGTAGGAACACACCGGTGGTGTGTTCCAGTGTCTGAAATTTTCTTGACGACAGCGAATCGAGCAGTGAGTTTCGCGGCGAGAGGCACGATCTCTGACTCTTTGATGATGAAGAACCAGACGACGCTGATCATTTCTGTCAGCGAAGTTCATGCATATCCCTGCGCTGAGAATGTGGTATTACATATCTATGTAGTCAATGATGACTAATCTGACAACCAGTTGTCGGGCAGGCAGGCTCCAAGATGACCCAAAATTGCACAAGAAGGCTTGCCACTTCGGGCCATCGCCAGGGACAGGAAACTCGCGATAGAGCGCCTGGCTGACCGTGTCGAAGAGGAGCTGCATTTGAATCGGAACTACCCAACACGGTACCAGAAAGGCCAGTTAAGACATCTCAAGATTGTATTGAATATTGCATTTAATTTGTATATTAAACATTGTATATTAATTGTGCAAGGCTATACCTCAGATTGTAATGAAAATTGATAACAGGAGCTAAAGCTATATCTCAGATTGTAATGCAAATTGATAACAGGGGCTAGCTGCTGTGTAGAATCTTAGCGTCATAGCATTCGCGGCCTGTGGATGGACGATGCACACTTGAAACTGGGTGATAATTTCATCACTTATCCAGTGTCTTACACTGGTCCTTCCTGGTTTTTCCGAATCACCGGAACGACTCGTCCATCGCCGCTGGACAGCTGATGTACGGTCATCGGCCAGTTTCTCTGTTGCAGATGGAACAAACCGGTGGTGTTTTTGAGTGTCTGAAATGGTCTTGACTGTAGTGAACCAGGCAGCGAGCTTGGCGTCAATGGGCACGACCTCTGATTCTTTCTCGGCAACGGGTACGACCTCTGACTCTTTCTTGACAACGGGTACGACCTCTGATTCTTTCTCGGCAACGGGTACGATCTCTGATTTTTTCATGGTAAAGAATCAGATCCCGTCGGCCATTTTCTGCCTCAGGACAGGGCTCCCCTCACCACCCCATCCCAAACATAAATGCCGTTTCATGCCGTTTTGCCTGGAGGCGTATTTCAAGATTTCACCCAACCATCTTTCCAAAATCGGTGTAACGCTGAACATGGTTAGTGCGGCTCGGGTCGGGTGGGTGTCTGTTTTCCCCCTTCCCGGATGGAAACACATGGTGTAAGCGCGCTTGACATTGTATAGCTGTAATACGTTGAATAGCCAAATTGTTTATGTAAAAACTAGGTACGCTTCGTAAGGCCGTTGACCTTTTGTTGGTCATAGACCGGCCATTACTATCAGTGAAAGCAGTGCCTCGAGGATCATTGAATATGATGTGACAACGGAGTGCTAGACGTCGTTATACAATTTCGAGATGGTCTCTTCGACAATAAGACAAATACTATTAGGATTACGACCAGCTTGATTGTTCTTGGGTGAGGTATGAAGGCAAGATCTAAGTCAAAACCAAACCAGTTTTTGGCATTGCAAACTGTTATTGTGGTAAATCACTCTGATTTGCTCTGTTCCACATGTGAATGACGGTCCCGCATCCCGTCAGCTGATCTGAGGTAGGCTGCCTGTGCTCAGGCTGCTCTGAGGTCCACTGAAGCCCGCACATGAGTGCCCCACACCGGTCTGACACTGCAAACCCGGTATGCGTTGACAGAACAATGCGGGTCTCGCGGAACCGGCGGCCGGTGCTCGTTGCCGGTGCTATATTGTTTCAACGCTGGATCAACCTGACATGATTTCTCAACATCCATATTACGTTTGTATCTTTATTATTGTCGCGGTGGTCAGCACATATCTACGTTACTTCAGGCCCTATGGAGAGCCTCGGGCACCACGCATCGTGACGCGTGGACCAGACGAGGCTGATGCCGTGCTTGGTGAACTAAATGCACTAAATAACCCCAGATACGAGTTGTGAAGAGATGTGAACACTTACCAATGCATAGGAGCTGCATGCCAGCTCGTATGCGAACGCACTATTTCCCAAAGCAAAAATGAGTGCGAAAGGTCATGTTTTGAGCCGTGGAGATGTTATTTACACACTCATTCTATCGGGTATTATTTTTGTTTTGGAAAGACAAGATACGATGGATGTTGTCTGCATCATAAAAAGTTAAAAATGGACATAATGCAAAGTTGAAGCCATAACCTTCGGCATAAGTCACGCAGTGACTTTTTAAAATGGCGTGGTGATTTTGTTTCAATAACATCGCGCATATAGTTGTGGTCTTGAAAAGTATACATTTATACTACTCATTGCATTAGTATGTGTGCTACGGGGCTAACCAACGTGAAATTTGCTCATATAAACGCCTAGGGACATGTCTGGTCATCCATACGTCAAAATAACCTGAAATGCTATCACGTGGGTTCTACGCTTCAGATAATTTCTGAACCCAATTTTCTATAGAATCTGAGTTATGGTGACGTCAGTCACGCTGCGATGGGTGAGAGACGACGCGAAATTGTAACCTTAAGTTCAAACTAGAAGTCTTTCATTCGTGTTGCGCAGCACTTCCTTCAAAAGCTTGAAGATTTAAGACGACCACTTTGGTCTCAAAATGAGTGTATTCCCACCGTCCT